ACTCCAGAGCAAACAGGAAAGGCAGAGCAAACTCAGCTCTTCTGTTTAATAGCAGGGGGCTTGCTGCATACATACTTTTAAGGCCACTGTGCATGTTGGTTTTTCCCTGGCAGGCGTTTTCTACTGGATGAGATTACTGTAACAGTTGGGAAGGTGGGGGAGAAGAGATAGAGATAAAGGACAAAGATACACTGTTCACGGATTTACTGCTCACAGGTCAGTTTGCCTAGCTCAGATTGATTTTGTTGCTATAGGACATAATCTCGCTTTGATATATACTTGACTAGAAGAATGTTAAAAGTTTCAGCGTAGGACACATTAAATGTAAATCTAAATTACAGGACCTATTACGATGTAGTTGAAGACTTGACCTCATATTTCTCTTTCTAGTCCTGCAGAGGTATGTTATTATGGTCCAACACTTCAGTCTCGTTAAAGAGAAATGAGCATCTTCCATATAACGCAGTAATTGCAGCTTCTGATCTGGTTATGGGTGAGGAATCAACATGTTCTCAGCCCACTGCATTGTCTGATTTTATGTTTAGCAAATGGCTTTAGCTAGCTCTGCATTTATATTTGGAATGAAAAGCAAATGACAGCTGCTAAAACTTCTAGTCATTTGGTTCTGAGACTAAAATACAGATTTAGAGTGCTTTTAGATGGGCATATAAAAGGTTGCGTTCTTTTTGTGCCTTCTGACCTGCACCAAGTTATCTGTTCACCTCCCACACGGGAACGTGAGAAGGTCACTGCTGCCTGTCAGGGTGGAAGCAGGTGCCTGTGTCCGTGGCAAAGGTATGCTGAACAGCAGCACACTTGAAGGCTGGAGCAATGTAAATGGTCTGCCCAGACGTTAGGCCTGGAAAAGCAATCCCTGAAGGACACAGACTGCCTGGGATCAGATCTGGGCTGTCCCAGGAATGCTGTCCTTTGCTGAGTATGAAAATACTGAATATGGCTTGAAGAAGTCCCTGACTGCAAAGCTAACTCTCCAATAATAAGAACAGAGCATTTATTTAGTTAGGAAATTTTTTAGATAAATTTTATTCTCTGTTTTGACCTATGTTTCAGGAAAACAAAGATGTTACCTTTTTTTCCCTGTTCACCTGGTAAGTAAGTGTATATGGCAATATGCAGTTTTCAGATCAAGCTAGCTCTCAGTTTGATCTGAACAAAACGTATTGTTTCTGTTGGGGACGGTGAACACTGATGCAAAAATGTGCTCATTTTCTTTCAAGGAGTCTGTCAGTTCAGTACAAGATTTAAAAGTTCCTGAGAATTAAAATGCACGATTTCCCTTCAAGGTCATCTGGAACGTGGGGAATGCTGGCAGCTACATCCACAAGAATTAGTCTCCAGTAGTAGGTGATAGCTATTTCTGTGGGCAAGCTGCCTGCAAGATGGTAAAGGCTTATGAATCCCAGACACATCTCCTCTTGTGGCAGCCCTGGTTGTTTTGTTCTGCAGACCTTAGTGCCAGGGCATTCTGTTCTGTCCCACAAATAGGAAGGTCCTTCTTTCCTGAATTATTTTGATTTTAAACCCAAATCTGATGTGTTCCAACTATGCTCTTGCTTGAGACTGTCCAGTTTCTTGTTATCTTCAAAGCTGGCAATGACTTTTTGTAGGCAGAAGTTACTTAAGTTAGCCAGCACTTCCTGTCTTTGAGGCTCTCTACTTTTTGTATTTTAAATCTGCATTTTAAATAAATGAGGAAATCAAAACTCTTAAAAATCACTGTTGACGTTGTCTTCTGACACCTCTGTAGCCTAATATGCACTGTTAAAAAGATGGCAGTGTTCTAATAGCTTTTTTTCCCCTAGTTTGACTGCTTCTCTTGCATGTAGCACCTCCATATATGACAAAGCAAGGTCATGAGCAAGACCGGCGGTCTGCACAGCACTCCTCTGGCCTTGCAGCTCCTATTGATCCTTGGCATCCTCTCTGCAATACCAGAAGATGCTATGTCAGCCCACTGGAGTATATGCAGAGAGCATCTTTCAACAGTCCTTATGAAGAGTTTTCTTGTGAAGGGAAGAGCTCTAGCTGTTTTACAGCTTAGGAAACTTTCCTTTTTTTTTTTTTTTTTTTTTTTTAAACCCAACT